ACTGGCAGACCGGGGTGGTGGTCCCTCTTTTTAAGAAGGGGGACCGGAGGGTGTGTTCCAACTATAGGGGGATCACACTCCTCAGCCTCCCCGGGAAGTCTGGGCATCTTTGCTTAGACTGCTGCCCCCGCGACCCGGTCCCGGATAAGCGGAAGAAAATGGATGGATGGATGGATGCTTACTGTTCTTTTTGCTGTTACTGTTTTTCTTTGCCTAGGTAAAGCACGTTGAATTGTCTGTGTATAAAATCTCCTATATAAGTTATGCTGACTTCCTTGCCTAAAGAGCCAGTACAACCAGTGAAATGCAGTTTTCTCTTTGCTATGAAGTGATTAAACTTAATATCTTTAAAATAAAACTGGGTTTCTGCCTCAAATTACATATATTTCATCATTACCATCCTGTAGCTTTGTGCCAGTTTAAGTAAGGGTCTATCTCTAAAAGGCTACATTTATTAAAATGCAGCATTCTCCCTGTGAAAATGCAATTACAGCAATGGCTCTGTTACTGAAAGGGGTTTTACTGGTTATATCGACCTTTTAGAGGCACTGAAACTAGTACAAAAGTGGTTAACATCCTGTAAAATATAACCCACAAGACTTTCAGCAACAAGTATTAGTTGCAATCACTTTTTGGCAATCCACAAATATTTTGCTTCTGAAACTGGCTGGGGCATAGCCTACTTTAAGCAGTTCGGCTTCTCTTGGCTATAATTACTATTACGATCATTCCCTTACATTTCATGAAAAGTTCAAATTTTACAGACACCTTTCTCCCGCGGGGACACACGTCTGGGTTTTTACTCATGTCAATGTATAATCAGTCTGGCCACCTGTCTTGGTTAATAGCCTGTTCCCTCGGGAGATACTAACATTTGTTTCTACATAGCTGAGTCAATGACACCGTTACACTGCAGGTGAACTGCTTACACACACACCGGGTTTGACTGTCAACATGTTGTGTGGTATTTACACTTACCCGTCGTCAGCTGTTACCTGTTAGCTAGACTGGTCGCGGTGGCACGGCCGTGCTTTGTAGCTTCTCTCACAAACATCTACTGTGGAAATGGGCTCCACATAAAGATAACGGTCCCAGCTTCGCAGACGGTGTGTTTTTGTCCATTAGTCAAAGCTTGGTCCATTCAGAATGTCTCAGGTAAAATTTGTGGAGCGGTTTTGCCCATGAACAACCGTGTTCTACTTTGTACAGGGCGCAGATGAAGCAGGACGAATAAACTTGAGGGGAAAAAAACTGGAACAACAGTTAGATCTGCACAATTGTAATCGTGACACAAAAACGGGTTTTACCGGTGCCGTAAAACCACAAACCGCAGAAATACTCCAACAACAAACGCTGCAAACTTCTGCGAACGCTTCCGCTTAAACTCCTAGCACAGCTTGATAACGATGTATCCCTTCGCCACAGACACAATCTGTAACACTAAGAAAGGGGTTTGAAAGGCTGAAAATAAATTTTGACTAAGTAAAACGTGGTTTTAAACCTGAAAATAAAAATTGGAAGTCCGACAAAGATACTTAGTTCTTTTCAGTGTTACAAATTTTCCGAGATTTTAATCTCGTCTTGCAAACATTAAACACATTGACGACCTATTTCCACGCACATAAGAACATGTCAATGCTGTTTCAAGACCAACTTGAAAAATCCCAAATTCTGCTGAAGCTGAAAATGTTTATCAGCTACAAAGGTTCCTGTGATCATCATGCTGTATTAATGTGATCGACAGATTTTTTTTTCCTGATTTATCTTAGGTAAAAGATAAGATGGATATCCTGTATAATGTATTAAATTTAAATCATGTTGTTTTTACATTTGTTTATCCTTTTTCTTTTTCTGTAATTGAGAGATTTAATGAATGACAAATGTTATGCTTTAAATGCAACTTTTTTTGGAGGTCAGCAAATAAAACTGGCATGTCTTAATACATTTTTCTCCATTAGCCAAACTCTAGTGGTAAAAAGCTGAAATTTAGACTGTTTTGATTAGATTCTTACGTTGCTCTAATTCTTGTCACATTTATTAAGTGCAAATAAAGAAAGTTTCAGATGGATAAATTAATGAGCATTCATGTTAAAAACAGAAAAACCTCACAGAACGAAGTGCTTTATTTAACCGAACCCAAGGACCCTCTCCAAACGCACACCTTCATAAACACCTTTTAGCACAAAGTCCCCATTTGTTCCAGCACAAAACCATGATCTGAGTTGAGAAGCTTTTAGGAAAAGCTTGGACCTATGTTATGCACAAGGCCAAGACAATAGTGACTTACATGTAGGTCAGTTATCTGAAGTTGGATGATCAATGGTGCGATGCTATTTACAGCTGCAGACACAAAGGTGTGATGAGAATTTGACATTAAATTTTACATAAAGTAACTGCACAGACTGAGAAGCAACTATGTAAATGTACTTGTATAATCATCATCATTGAGGTTACTTGTGGCAGTCATAATGTGGCAGTCATATGTAAACTAACACACTTTGGGCTCTTTTATAGAATAATCTTGTGTCAGAATAAAAATTCCATATTTTATAAATCTCTTGTGAGACAGTGCATTATCAGTTGGATGTGATTTCACAAAATTTGGGCTGGAGGTGTTCAGTACAAAACTGTGTAAAACACTCATTTATCAAAGGTAAACAATGTTGCTTTCAGGCAGCCGGTGTCTTAATAACACTGCTTGAACATGTATAGCTGCCAGGATGTGAAATGAAAACGTTTCTGACAGAGCAGTTGACTCATAATGGCAGCAGTGAAGGTGGAAAACAAGTCAGACCACTTCTAAGTATTTGATCATACATGTGTGTCCTTTCGTGATACTATAAGTACATGTGTACAGAGAGTGTGGATGTCCTCTATAGCCTCTCGAAGCCAATGGAGCAGAGGAGGAAGATGGCATACAGCAGCAGGAGGCAGAGTCCCAGCCTGCGGTCCAACTTCCAGCGATTCAGATGGACACACAGGACCTGAGGAGGGACAGACAGAAAGAGAGACAGCTAAATTTCCTTTTGTACAGCCCAAAAAACATATTTCTCCAGCTGAAAACTTTCTCATCAAGGCCTGAGAACTCTTGACAGGAAAAGAAAGAGGATGAAAATTCTAGATGATGAAAAACAGGCAGCTGATGATGGTGCAGATTTTTACTCATGTCATCATCTATGAAATAAGATCAGATTAACTGGGTTTTAACAATTGTCAGGTGGCAAACAGAGATCTACTCACAGTTAGTGTGACTGAAGCCAACAGTAGAATTACTGAGTACACCAGGCCTTTGCTGTTGATTGTCACCTAAAAATACACAAAAGTTAATTCTAGGTGTTCAACAGTTAAATGCAGCAGTATGTTCATTTTAGCCACTGACTACATTCTTGTATACATCTAAGACAAAAAGCCACAGACAGGTGTCAAATTAAAGGAATAACCAACATACAGTGTCTGAGTAAGGTGTTGGGCCAGTATGTGCCACCAAAACAGCTTCAGTGCACTTTGTCTCCAGTAGAGGGATGGACACCATTCTTCAAAAAGATATTCCCTCATCTGGTGTTTTGATGATGAGGGTGCTGCCTTAACATGTTGATTAAAATTTTAAAATGTACTTCAACAAATTTTTTGGCTAGCTTTTAGCTGTCAGCTGTACAAGACATTAGAGAAAACACGTGGTGTTACCACTGATCCATAGCTGACTATGAGAGTCCTCAGCGCCCAGGGGAAGCCCAGGCCCAGCAGCACATCGAAGATATTACTGCCGATGGAGTTGGATACAGCCATGTCGCCCATTCCTGCCACACAAACAGAGAGAGGAATTCATGTCAAAATATGTAGTGCAAAGAATTCAAATGACATTATACATCCTATTCACACTCTAACTTTCCATTATTTATTAAATGTACAGCTTCTTAGGTGTCCTATCATCATGACTGATTCAGTGTGTCCTGTTCTATTCTTTGTAAACACTGCTCTGTAAATAAAGTTTGCAGTTATTTTAGTATTTTCCTATCCATAATATAATTATGAGAGAGGAAGGACAGTAACTGTTGTAGAGAGTAATAGAGGAATTTTATGTTTTTCCCTGAAACTCATGTCAAATATAATCAATAAAGGTGCTGTGATGCAGAAAATGCCCCACATGCTCAATTTTCATTAAAATTTAATAAAGAGGTGATGATGGGTTGATGCTTTCTAGCAAGAAAAATCAAATTCATTATATATAATACCGAACAGAAACTATTCAAAATGTCTATCTCAAGCTGACAAACAGACAATTTTCTAAGCTGGATGTTTAATTTTATCACTTTATAGAGACTTTAATGAAGGTAATAGATTTAATAGATATAAAAGCATTCTGAATGAGTTCGACAAAACAATCTGAACTTCGGGTCTACATACCAGGTTTTTCCAGTGCTCTCAATCACTGATGACTCTATCTATTAAGCTCCTGAAAATTCTCATCAGTAGAGCTTGAGTTAAGAATGTTTTGCCAGACCAGTATTTCCAAAGTCAAGAATGAACCTCTATGCTCAATATTCAGATTGTAACAAGCCAAAACATGGATCAGGCAAAGTCATTAAATGATTTTATTAAGTGTCGTAAATGCATGTTGAGATAGACTGAACACACACACACCTTGTCGGGCGACAATGAGGCTGGCCATACAGTCAGGGACACTGGTGCCGGCAGCCAGAAAAGTGATGCCCATGATGACGTCTGGGATTCCAAGTGTGTAACTGATTATGGTCACCTAGGAAGAAGAAAAGAGGTTGTTTATGTGTGCGTGTGTCCACCTGTGCTCCTTTGCCTGTGTGTTTCATACCATCCAGACCATGAGGTAGGAGAAGAGGGCTATCCAGAGTGTAGAGGACAGGAACGTGAGCAGGTACCAGCGCTCCCACTGAGGCTGGTTACAATCAGGGACAGTGCAGTGAAGCAGGATGCTCACAGGCCAGGAGAGCAGCCACTTCAGACACACACCCCAACCATCTGAGAACATGATGAAAACACACACATACACACAAGTTTTCCCTCAGTGGTCATTACAGATTCATCTAAACTTCTAAATTATTCATGTGGCACAGCCTGGATGTGTCTGAGTGTCATTCCTCTTTAATTAGCTCCATTATCTAAAATTCAATTATGCTGAAAAACATCAGGTGAAGCGGCACACAGTCATGTTTGCTACTATGGTGACCAGGTGCATAAATGTAGCTTCAATCTAAATCTTTCACTGCCCTTTCCTGACAAAAAGACATTTTGGAGACATACATGTTAGTCTGAGTTGAAAAAGCTGATACTGAGAGATATTTTTTAAGCTTTTGTTAGATATGAAACAGACAGGAATGTGCAAAAAGGACTTTTAATACATATTTTAACTTGTAGGTTGCTGGTTCTGTTTGTTCAGAAAGGCTCTAAGTCAGTCTTATCTTGTCATTACTATATGAATTTTATGCAGATGGTAAATGTTACTGTCAATAAAAAATCTGACTTAGATGACAATGTGAAATAAATCCAAGAATTACTTTATTACTTCCTTTATTACTGTCTAGGTGTGGTGTCTGTGTTCATTCGTTGCTCACCTGGCAGGACAAAGGGTTTGAAAGGAGCATTCTCATCCTCTCTGTCGTCCTGCTCTTCCTCCTCCTCCTCTTCCTCTTTAGGCTGTGCTCCCGCACTTGTCCCCCTCCCCATCTCTTTACTCCTCTCCCTTTCTCCATCCAGCATCTGTCGGTCTCCCTCTGCCACTGTTCTGTTCTCCCTCTCCCACGCCACGCCAGCACCCTCCTCCCCTGAAGCTCCCCCATCCTCGGGGCCAACCTGAGCCCGAATCAGCCTCTGCCTCTGTGGGTGAGAGGGAAGTTGGGTGCAGTCAGAGAAAGGACAGAAGGAAATAAAACAAAAACAACAAGAAAAACAGAAATGACACGAGAAACACTGCAGCAAGCTCATGGAAATGACTTCATCTGCCTGTATCACAACTGCCAGGAAGGAGTAATTGGGCAGCCAGGCCTTGGGATCATTAGATCACAAAGTCAATGTTATACTAACTCAGAGTCAAGAAATCTAATGTTTACCACTAAATAATATTCACATTAGTCACCTACTTCTGAATCTTGGATCATTAAATCACAAGTAAAACGTTTAATTCCAAAGCTTGACAGTAACCTATTCCCGATTCTTGGGATATAACTTAAACAACAGATAATATTCAAGTCAGAACCTAAAATGTGGGAGTAGACTACTCCCAAATCATATAATCTAACACTACAACACTACCAATAAATAATATTCATGTCAGATCCCAAGAATTGGGAGTAGAGCATGGATCGGGCCGCATATTTCTCTCTGAACCCAGCCCGCGCCCTAAAGTGTGTCGAACCTGACCTGGACCTGACAAGATTACATTATATAATGTCTGAATCTGACCCAAACTCAATGCCAGAGGGAATTTGAAAAGCATTGATCAGGGGCATGGCAGAGAGCATGGGCAGCACTGGCAGTCACACTTTAAGTTGGCACTGGAAATGGCAAGCATGCATGCAGGAAGAGAGAGGGTGAGGAAGCAGGTTTGGAGTTTGTTTACTTTTGTGTCAGATTTAATATTATGCATTAGGCAGCACTCTGTCTGTGTTTGTGTTTTTGTGCCCATCTAACAACAGGAAACAAGATGTCTATTTTTTTTTATGTAAAGCAATGACATACTGATGTTTTAAGTGCTGCACATGCACATTTAAATACTCACCCAACGTAGCTGAAAAAACCTGAAGGGGATCTTGACGTAATGTGACAGGTGCAAGCGCGTGTAGTGTACCTCATTGATGACCATGCATCCTGCCATGCGCAGGCGGGTGAAGGGGGGAAAATGCGGGGTGATGAGAAGGCGGAGGCTTGCCTCTGAGAGGGACAGCTGGTGGGGGTGCAGGTGCATCAGCTCGTCCACCATCACAACCCCTGAGTCCTGACCGGCCACTACACACGAGTCTGCGGAAAGTAGGGGGAGATGGATGAATGTTAGCGGGAGGTAAAAACAGAAAGGAGGAGATAGATGGTAAAAGTCAGAGTCTTGTCTTTGAAAATACTCTAGTTCTATTAAAGCCAGCTGGAAATCCAGAGGGGAACCGAAATGGGTTTGACTGGCAGCTTAAAATGTGTCAGTAGGTCTGTTGAACGCAGCTCAGAGACAGGGAACTTTATAATGTTTTGGATGTACACATACACACATACAAACATGAGCTCCTGCACCTGGTTTCAGCGGCACCATGTCATTGTCACAGTCTCCAATGTTTCCAACAGCAGTCGTCCGTCGCAGGCTGCTCAGACATGGCTGACCTGCCCTGCTGCAGTGACGCTCGACCAGGCTGCACAGAGATCTGTTGAACCTACAGGAGACAACACACTCAAAGATACTGAGATCTGAAGTGGATGTAGAGCATGTGGTGGTTTGACAGGAAGAGGAAGACACTCACTTCATGATGATTATGTAAATTCCATACATAGAAATCAGGATGATGGTCTCCCACCTGAGACATATACACAAAAACAATCAGATTCATAAATACCACACTCATCACAATGACAGTCAGCTATCTTGCAAACTGATCTGATATCCAAACAGAATTGCAAAGACGTTTCATTACAGTCTTACCACATGACCTTCTCATCAAAGATCACCTGCAAATAAAATGACAATATACTTTAATTACACCCCAGAGACTCACTTTTTACATGTCTAATCCAAGGAATGTCAAAAATATTTAGATTAGATCATGTATCTGTGTATCTACTGTATCCATCTATCTCTAAAGTGAAAAGAGCACAGGGTGAATGTGGTTATAGTTTGACCGGAGGTTTTCTCACCAGGATAAGCACCACTATAGACAGGATGTAGAAGACCGCATCCCGAAACAGAGGCCACCAGCTCAGAGAGATGGGCTGAAGAGAATGGACACAGATAGAACATTTACATTACCTTAAATTAAATCCTGTGATGACAGTGTGGGCCAAAACGTTTGTGTGTTTTTGGTTGGCAGAAAAAAGCCTTTCAAAATATCTGCATTAATCCCTGATGCATTTCTGTTTAATTATTTGGTGTAAGAGCCACTTGATCCAGGTCTGAATACATCAGGTGTATGTACCTGTCCAGCGAAGATGCCACAGATGCCAATGATGACCAGGATGTTAAAGACGGCTGATCCCACAATAGTTCCCACACCCACATCTCCCTTTGTAATAAACACCCCTGAAAACATGGAACAAGAAAGAGTCATAGATCATGAGCAAAAATAATTTAATGTGACAGTGTGCAAGAAATGATGGATTGCACTGTATCTCCTTTCCATAATTGTACAAAATTAGACATAGCATCTCTCTCTCCTCTGAATAGAAATAGCAAATCTTTGCTTCATAACCCTAGAGGATGGGTACTGTAGATACCTTCAATCTTGTGCTACTGATGTTGAAATATTTATAGAATATTCCCTAAAGTCACTCCAACACTTATCAAAGGCAGCCATTTTTCTTTTGAGAATAAAATAGATAGTTTTAGTTGTTTGTTCGACAAACAGAGAGATAGATGCTTTATTGATCCTGAGAGAAATTCAGGTATCCAGTAGCAACAGCAACAGTATGATTACCAAAGATGGGATGTATGTAAAGAAATATCCTTTAGCCACATGGATTTATTTATAAGTAATCATTGCTACAAATCACAGTAATAGTAATATCACAATTTGTTTCCAGCAACATGGCAATTTTAACACACTGCACCTTGTATCTTGTATCAAAGGGCAATAACAGTGTAACCTTTCTGTTATTATCTAGGTTATTTTTTGTTTCTCAAATTTCCAAAATGTGTGTGCAGTGGTTTTCGTCTGGTTTATATCTGCGTCAAACATCCTGTCTAAATTTCACCTTGGCAATTCTTTGTTCTGTTCTCCTCCCTTTATCTGAATGAACGCTTAATGTTTGAAATTGGCCAATCAGTCCTTCTTACTGCACATTCTCTTCTGTCATAATCATGTGAAAAGGCATTTGATTGCAGGTAATTAGACTGCTGCTGGAGCAATCATGGGCTAACCCATTAGAGTGAGTACTTGATTAGACAAGCATCATACTGACCAATCAATGAGGTAAAGAGCTCAGGGGCAGAGCTCCCAGCTGCCATGAAGGTCGCCCCTGCAACATCTTGACTGAGTTGTAGATTCTGGGGAACAGATGTAAAGCAGATTAACTGGATTAAAGTATAAAACTGGCCATAATTTATATTTTTCTTAATGCCAGCAAATCCCAAATGGATGGACTGATTGTACACTTATTGTCCGTGTATCCAAAACCTGATTAACTCATAGACCTCAATTCTTTTTGTCTAAAAACCATTAGAAATCCAAAATTAGTATTGTTTATTAATTTGCAATAGAAAATAGTCCCCAACAAATTCAAGAAATACTTCTTTATGAGTAACATTTGTCCAAAACTAGTGTCCAGAAATCTACAAGACTTTTTTTTTTTACATCTTCAGTTGAAACATATGTGCTTTGAGTTGAGTGGCAAAGACAGGGTAGGGATGTCAGCATCATGGGTGTATTAAAAAGAACTAGATACCGAATAACAAGATGGCACCCAATGAAGGTTGCTTGCCTGGGGCATATGCCAAAAAAAGGTTCTTTTGTTATTTTTAATAGATTTTTGGTAATAAGCATAGGTTCATAGGTTATCCTTAAAGAAGGGGTGAAATACTCTGATGGAACTGTGCAAGCACCTAGAGGGCATGGAAAAAACATCAATTACCAGCTTGCAGACTCTAAAACACAGGCTGATTTCTAGCCCAAAAACTACACTTGTTGTCTTACATTGCTTTATTTTCAACCACATTAACACCATCTTGAGGTCATACCTCTGATACTTTTTCCAGTGATGGCACAAAATAAACATCACACACGATAGCCAGTGCATGAAACATGTAGATAGCCTGTGAAATACAGAAGAAAAGTGAGTGGCCACATGGATTATACAGTATATGTGTGGCTATTTGAGCGTTCAAGGCAACAAAATGAAACTTCTTTCATTTACAATTCTAGCTTTCCTGCCAGCAGAGCTGATACTCACACAGAGAACATGAAGGAGTACTGCTCCCTGTCTCCTCTGCTCCAAAGTAAAGATGTCTTCAGGAAACTCACTGATAGCTGGAGAAGAGATGGAGAGACAGAGGCTCAGTCCAGCCCACCCCTTACCCACTCTAACTCTGTCTGTGTGTTCACATAGAGGGTCTGCCACATTAAGTGCCATTCCAAACCAATTAGCGTTAAGTGGGAGTATAGATTATAAAGCCCTCCAACCATGAGCCTGCTTTCATGCTGGTTTACTAACTACACTCCAAGGATGGGAGTTCTGTGCATTTACTTCAAAGAGACAGGTAATATGTTGCTGTAGCACAGACAGCCATTTGACATGATATAAAACAGAAAAAAAGTAATTGGTAAAAAAGCTTATAGTAAAACAATGCAGCCTAATAATTACTGGTAAAATATAGCCTACCCACTAACTTTATTTTTGTTGTTTGTATCCTTACATTATGCTGTTTTATGTAACACATGTACATGTGCTTTGTTTGTGTTTTCTAAAAAAAGACAAGTTGCAGGAGCCGAAAGATACACGTGTCAAGGATGTGGCCCCCGCCACTGTTCACCTGCATGAATATGGTGTTGGATGTTACTAGTCACACCTCTGCCACTAAGCCATTCACTATGAGGCATAAATGAAACAGCTGACACCAATCACCTACAATAATTCAGCTCTGATGCTGTTTCTCCTTCTCTCTAATGGCTCTGTGTCAGTTTTGAGACGGATTTCAAATAAAGCTAAACTGATGAGTCGATTAACTAATTAGTCACATGACAGTAAATCAGCAACATTATTGATACTCAATGAGGCATTAGAGGCAAAGAATCAGAAGGTTGTAAAGCAAAAACATTTCAATTTCACTGGTTACAAGCTAAAAAAAATGTGAACTGCCCTGGTTTTCTTAATCTTCTATGATAGTAAACTATTTCTTTGAATTCTGGTGGCTGGATGAACAAACCAAGCTCTATGAATACTGCTGCATGTCTTCAGAACAACCTCCCACAGTGTGCCAAACTTGCCATTTCTAAAAAAAGACAAGTTGCAGGAGCCGAAAGACACACGTGTCAAGGATGTGGCCCCCGCCACTGTTCACCTGCATGAATATGGTGTTGGATGTTACTAGTCACACCTCTGCCACTAAGCCATTCACTATGAGGCATAAATGAAACAGCTGACACCAATCACCTACAATAATTCAGCTCTGATGCTGTTTCTCCTTCTCTCTAATGGCTCTGTGTCAGTTTTGAGACGGATTTCAAATAAAGCTAAACTGATGAGTCGATTAACTAATTAGTCACATGACAGTAAATCAGCAACATTATTGATACTCAATGAGGCATTAGAGGCAAAGAATCAGAAGGTTGTAAAGCAAAAACATTTCAATTTCACTGGTTACAAGCTAAAAAAAATGTGAACTGCCCTGGTTTTCTTAATCTTCTATGATAGTAAACTATTTCTTTGAATTCTGGTGGCTGGATGAACAAACCAAGCTCTATGAATACTGCTGCATGTCTTCAGAACAACCTCCCACAGTGTGCCAACCTTGCCAAATCAATGCACATCTAAAACACATTTGGTTACTGTGGCATAGAGATAAAACATGTTGCTTTCATATTATCGTTTTTATTCATCAGCAGATTAAAATCAATGCACATCTAAAACACATTTGTTTACTGTGGCATAGAGATAAAACATATTGCTTTCATATTCTGTTATGTGTAAACCAATTATCGTTTTTATTCATCAGCAGATTGATCAATAATGTGCCTGTGCCTGCATATGTATGTGTGTGATATTTTTTGTTGAATGTGCATCCAATTGCATCCCTTAGCAACACGGGCTGAGGCAGATTGTGGTTAAAGTAGTGCCACAGTCATGTGACTAATCCACTTCAGTTACATTATAATTAAGTTGTTCGCCCACTGTCTTTGGAATCACTCCTCTTGGAACTTCCAGTTATCCCTCCCGCCATCTTCACCCAGGTACAGTATCTATACGGACTTTTTTCTTCTTCTTACAAAGCAAAAAAAAAAGAAACCCTTCAGAGGCATCTTGTCTGTGTTATACATCACAATCATCCTCTTTTCAACTGTTAGAGTGTTTTTCCAAACTGCACCGTCTTGCGTATAAACGCAAACAAATGGCACAGCTGAGTTTAAAAAGCATTCATTAGGAGGCCATGCAAAACAATAATGTGGAAAGCTGCTTTCCAAAGACTTTCCCCACAAGATGGTCTGATTTAGCTGTGAGTCAGTACTTATAAAACCTCCAATAAAGGAACTTCACAAACAGCCAGGTGAATCAATTGTGACCAAAATGCATTAGGTCACAGAGGCAACATTGTGCAGTTAAAAGCTAACACACATCACATGTCAGGATAGAGACACACTTAAGGTGTGATATTATGACAACCTGTCACATGGGTTTGTTTGAATAATCAAGAACAAGAGGGCAGTTTTGAAAACAGCAATATGGTAATTGGAAGAGAATATTTTCCAGCCCTTGAAGTTAATATGCATTGCATTTTCCCAAGTTAGTATATATAGGTTTTTTACAGCTCAACATATATAGCACAATATATTGACTATAATTGGCTAAAAAAATCTCTTCATCTCAGTATCGGAGCAAAGAGACTGTTAGTGTTTCTCCCTGTGTTTCTAGATCCAAGGAAACATGATGAGAGAGCCGCTGATGAGAGGACATGAGCAAGTCATTACAACAGGAGAGGCACTTTGAACAGCTCCAGATGCACATGGCATCCAACCACAAATTCAGCATTCAGTTTCCTAGCAACTGGGTCCCTCAAAGGCCTAAATGTGTTTAAACATCTAGAGTCTGAAGAAATGACAGATGAGGTGCACTAGAGAGGTAGAGCAATGCACAGAGAAGAGAGACTTAGCTTAAAGAGATTAATAGAGATGGAGCCGCACACAAAACACTCACACTGGTGTTACTAAGATCATCACTGTGATTGTACATTCATCACTGCATGAATACCCAAGACCCAAACTTAAATCCAGGTCTGTAAATGACATGACCTCAGCCCAACTCAGCATACTAAGTGACTGTTTTTCTCTTTTTGTCTGGATAAGACAGAGGAAATTCTCTTCCTTGTTTCATACACACATATAGGAGGCTATGAACACATGGTAAATTGTCTCACCAGATCTAGAAATGCTTGCAGTCTGGTTGTTGTCTTTTTTTTGCTGGACGACCTCCCTCTTGGACAAGATGTTATGATCCACAATGGGTCCAATGGAGCCTAAAAGGGGGGGATGACATATAAACACACCACTGATAAAATTTGATTATGTTGTATAGTTGTGTATTTGTGAAATACAGTAAGGTTTAGCAAAACCTTTACCTAACTTTACAATATTTCTTTGACCTACTGTGCTGCTGAAATACTCATTTAAGGTTGTTATTAGCCGTTATTAATCTAACATTTACATAATGAAATGTGTGCGGTAATAAAACCCAAGTAATGGATGAGTTTAGTAGATGTTAAATCGCGACAGTTTTATGTGATTCTTTATTTCTTGAGAAGCACCTGTAACATCACTTAGGTGAAGGATCCAGGCGGCTGCGAGCAGACCGAGTCCACAGACACAGAACCGGAGGAGCCGCCTCTGCCTCGGTGTCCGCGGCGCCTTCATCCCGCCAGCCGCCACCACTCGCCGGCTCTCCGCTCAGAACATGTCGCTGCTACCGCCGCCGCTGTAAATCCTCCTCTCACCGCCTGGCCCCTGGTTACAGACTGGATCAGACTGGCTTATTGCTCTCGTTTTCGTGATTTATTACCTTTCAGCTCGTGTGGTTTTGATCTCCATCCACGATAGGGAAGGATGTTAAACAGGTTCGGCCTGTCATCAGCATCCAGCACCAGTCAGCCACTCGGCGCCAACCAAAGCGGCATCCGCGTCCACAAGCTGCAACTCCAGCTGATACAATGAACACTCAAACAGTTCCTATAGAAAAATAGGCATCGTTTCAGACCATGTTCGCATGTCTCCTGCCCCAAATCAGATTCTCCCCCTAATGAGTTACTAGCTTTTCCTGGACCACAAGGGAGCGCCTTCAGTTGGGTGGGGCGACTGGAGAGAGGCTGCCAGCACGGGGACGGATGGATGGAAGTGCAGCACGGACATTCTATTTGTACATCAAAATGTGAGAAGTCATTAGCAACACATAGTTTTCTAATGAAGGGGACAAACCTCCTCTTCCTAATAATAAATCCTATTTTGTGTTTTAAGCCTGGGCCTTACTCTAAAATTCGTTATGATTTCTCTCCCCTTAGTGAAAAGTGGTTATGTAAAGCTATTAACAACCAGGAGATAACTACCATTTTTCAAGAGTAATGTGTAGACCAAGAGGTAAACTGCAACCTGTTTTTGAAATAAGCCTACGTGGAACAATCTAATCTCAGTGAACTAACTGATAATGGCCTATAAAACATTCAGTGTCTTTGGTTCCGTTAAGTCGGATGTGGCTAGGTGGACAGATTTTACTTGTTCTTTTTTTTTTAAGAGAAAGAGAGAGATTAATATGAATCGTTAGTTTATTCACTTCAAAATACAGTAATGTATACAAAAGCAAGCTACAGATGACAACTGTCTTGGGATGAACAAGGTTTTCTACAATGAAAAAACGTTACTATTTCACACAAGGTTTCCCAAACCAAAGACCAAAGTGAAGCCTGGTGTACAAAAAGAACACAATTGAAAGTGTGAAGTTTTAAAGTTAAAACTTCCCAAATCTTGCCAAGTTTGACCTTTACTGACACAAATAGTTGTAATATAAATCCACATGAAAATGTTTTATCAGTGCAGATGGTTCAGAATGAAATACTTTCTTTTTCACAGCCGATATTTTGACTTGTTACAGTAGAAAACCCAGTTACTAATAACTAATAATAATGGTTGTATTCTAGTCACATGTCCTAGTAAACCGTGACAGTGGACAGTGAGTCAGCACACACAAACCAGGACACTGAAACTGGTGCAGCCAAATGAAATTCAGTCATCATTGATTTTCTTATTTACACCTGTGCTTCTTCTACTCTGACGAGTCAAAATATCCTCTGTGAAAAGGTCCACTGTTTAAATTAGTAAATGTACTTTAACATGTCTTTTATGGAGTACTTATAAAAATAAAAATATTTACAGTAAAAAAGAAAAAAAAAGCTTTATGATCTGCTGTTTAGAAAACAAATTCCACAATAAACAACCCACAACCGGATAACGATATGTTTATAAGAAGGAGTGTTAAGATCAAATTGGAGGTAAGGCACTGTAGTGCAGGTTGAGGTAGGGCTGTAATATCAGATGTACATTGGTCCAGAAGGTGTTAATGGAAAAAAAGTCACAGTGTCTTGCAATGTTTCCTAAAGCCATAAAAGCCATAACAGAGAAAATGAAGAGGCATAGTATAAACAGTCCTGCTTTCTGGATGGCTGTCTTCAAGATGCCTGCCCACCTTAGACAAAGGAGAAACCACAAGGGATGATAATGTGTGTGTGTGTGTGTGTGTGGCTGGTAAAGAAGAGAAAAACAGTGTGCACATCATAATTACTGCAAGTTCCACAATATAAAAACTGTTCCTACAAATTCCTACCCTTCACGCATCACATCCCAAAGGCCATCAGAGATACTTATTGATGTGAAACTGAAGTACCTTTTGGTCGGAAGACGCATGGTGAGAGTTTCAGCTTTCAGCAGCGCCTCGGTCTCAGTTTCCTCCTGCAGACACAAGGACCAAACATTACTAACCTACCATATGTCTACAGCTACAGTACAGACACACAGCCAGGAGTTTGAATCTGGTTTCATAGTGGCACACTCTAGTGGTCACTTGTGAAAATACAGAAAAAAAAAAATCAAAAGGTGGCAAAGGTCATAGTTCCACATTTTGTAAGGTTCAAGAGTGTAAAAACACAGGAATCAGACAAAGAATTCATACATGTCTTAGATGCGTGAAGTCTGACATGCTGGGTTCCATTTCAATGGAGGAGCGCAGCAGCCTAACTTCCTCTGCAAAGGACACAGGGGAAGTGAGGGATCCTTCCTTTTGTTCCATCAGGCCGTTCACAGCAGAGCTGGAAACCAACAGCAGACAGAGAGTGCAGTGTGAATGCAAACAGATGAGTCAGTGTATGTCATTCATATAAAGCATAAGGATTTTGCGTGTCACGACTACAGTGTGGCCTCATCCTGTCTGTCCTCCAACTGTTTCGTCAGCTCCTGATTTTTCAGCCTGAGCTCCTGGAGCAGAGAAACATGATCAGACAGGGGTCTGCAACAGGGTCAATACCTGAGTGAATATTGCATATGTAAACAGGGATAATAATAATGTTGGACATTTACTCCTGTACTACACATTCATAAATATGTTATCAGTACACAACAGTTTGCTTTAAAACGTGTAGTTAACTGTGTCCAAATTAAAATGAGAGGAAATTATTCAAATTGCAGCTTGCATGCTGCACACTGGGTGAAATGGGCTTCTGAGCATCTGACACTGGTCAACACTGATAATAAAAACACATCAGACTTCAATATATTTTGTAATGTATTTCTGTGTTTTTACCCGATGCAGTGAGGGACTTTACCCTCAGTTTTAATTTCTTGTCTTAGTTTAAGTAAATGATATGATGACTAAGGAGTTGTGTCAAATTGTATACATCAGTGCCAAAATAACATTAAGATAAGAAAGCATGCTTTAACTTGTGTAAATGTAACTTTCTGGAATTCTTTTCTTAGCTGAATATTAATGGATGAAAACATTTACCTTTATGATGTTGGTATACTCGTCAATCATCTCCTCTGAGAACTTTAACAGAAAATCTTTCTATCACAAACAGATATAAAGAACTGTCAAGAATTTTATGCCAAACTCCAAAGAAAAAGATTTATATTAATGAAAAAATCTTGACTTGCTGGTCAGTACTTATGTGCCTGCTCCTACCTGATGAATAATCTCATCCCTGCGCTGCAGCTCTGACTGAGCCTCCTTCATTCCACACTGAAGAAACACATGACACTGACCAATCAGTAGCTGGCTGATGATTTAAAGCAACTAATGCAAACACTGGTAGCATGAATGGGGACAGAAAAATAATTTAAGCTGAATCCATGGTGTTACCTCAAGGGTCTGAAGTGCAGTACTGCACTTGCTTAAACTGATCTTGCCCTGCTCTCTCTCTTGTTGGAGGCTCTTGAGCTGTAAAAATCAGAATGATATTCAAATGTGGACAGAGTTATCAAATTTCTGTATCACGTCTAACCCCAACATGAAGTTGCCACAGAACTGGTAAACACGATCAAAACCTATCAGTACGATCTCAGGTAAAGCTGTGATTCAACAAGAACTGGTCACTCTAATGACAGATTAAAGTTGTGAAGTGAAAAGTAACAGACTTCATACCTCTGCAGTTAGTTTCTTATTTTGTTCCTTCATCATGGTGACTTCCTCCTCCTACATAAAAACACAGCAACATGAAGGGTCAGCTGGAAAAATTCAAAATGACAACCTTTAGCCTATCGGGCATGTTGAAATTTACCCGTTTGTCTATCACAAATCTATTCTATTATGATGACAGATTTACAGTATATCTTGTGCCATCACTGAGGTGTGAATGGTTTCAGTGCACAACTTATGCCAACCCTCCACAGGACAGTATTTGCAATCTCACACTAGGCAAACCATACTATGCCTAAGCATGTTTGACCACTAAAGACCAGTTTGTTTGAGTAGCGTAACTGCTCCAGTTCCGTTGGAATCAGGCATGGTGCATGGAATGTGAAGAATTTAGAACTGAGTCTTGTGAAGCAACAACTAACCTCAAGGAACAGAGTTTTTCAATGCAAAGTCTAAATATCATCAAAGATTTGCTTCTGGTTCCTCACCAGTTTCTGAATGTTTTTTTCACTGCATTTCTTTACATCAAGGTCATCAGCCAGGAGGGCCCCCCAAGGGTCTGTTTCAACCTGCCGTGCTTCACTGATGATCTTCTCCAGCCTGTAGATATACAAACACTAGCTCATGACAGACAGGTCCTAAAACTGAACCTTGCGGTGTTCAATGGGGTGTGAATGCGAGAAAGTGAAAAAATAAGGTCTAACATGGAAGCAAAACACTTGAAGACTTGCTGCTGAAAGCCAAAAACAAAAAAAGACTGACTGTACAATAGTCAGCAGGGAGCTCAAACAGGTTTATAGATGATGAATACACTAAAAGAGAATTGGCATGTAAGGTTAAATGTCAAGACAGTACATGGACCCATCGGCTAATCAGTAGAGACAATAATGTGTGACTAGTTACGCTTTTGTTTGTTTTCTGAGGTCAGCGTTCTCCAAGCGCAGTGCCGCCATATCATCATCTGCAACGTCCAGCCAGCGTCTCATCTCAGCATTCAGGTCCCTCAGCTGGTTCTGGCTGTAATCTAGCTCAGCTATCCTCTCAAGCATCTCCTTGGGTGTTCTACACACAAACACACACACACACACACACACACACACACACACACACCAAAGAAAAAGCTTCACATATTGCTGCTAAGTAACACAACCATTTTTTTGTGTATGAGTTTGTTCAGGGAACATCACTCACATAATTTCCTCTGGGACATCCATCCTGCTGGCTTACATCTAACTCCTTCCTGTGATATACATATGGTTTAACAAAATTACCATCAGGAGTGATACAGAGATTTTAGGGCAATTTTAGCATTTTTAATATAACAAAAATTGCAATTTAATAACAGTTTCATGGTTTAGGGAAAAGGTAATAAAGCTTAAATTTTTTTATAAACTCAAATATAAAACATTTAGCTAAAATTAACGATGACATTTACTACCTATGCCAAGCTAGAAAAAATATTTAAAACTAGATAACCTAAATGAAATTTAAGAACATTCGATACCTTTGCCGGGGAAATGTGTAGATAACGCACCCAGGAGTGATATCCTTGAAACCCAGCCTGTTAATTTTATAACCGAGAAGCACAACTTAATTTACAGCTAAAATGCTAACGCCAACATATTCTAATTGCAGCGTTAGCTAAACGCCCTGGAATTTAGCTAGCTAGGTTACCATAGACATAATATACATAGACGCCGCGTTGAGCCTTGAATCAGAGTCACCGTAGGCGCCATATTGGAAGTGGCAAAAAGTAAGATGCCTAAATTATGTGCTGCTTGGGGTTGTTCCAAATGTTCGACAGCAGAAACCAGATCCAATGGGATTACCTTTCACAGGTAAGACTTAACTATTTTTTTTATTGTATTTGGTCATTATAACATCATTTTGAGAACGGAATGTGCTTACTTTGTGGATAATACTGTGAAGTCCCGCGGTGAATCCAGCGTCCAAATAAGCAAGGCAGTCTTTTTTAGCTATGTCTCCCGCCCTGCAGTTACTCTGATTAGTGTTAGTTATCTTACTTATCCACGTGTTTTCATACTGTGTAGGTTTCCCAAAGATAAAGAGCTGCGAAAGCAATGGGAAACAGTTAGGACCATTCTTATGCAATGCTTTCATCACCCAGTGAGATCATGGACAGACTCAGTGAAGCTTTAGCTAGGGTGATAAAAGAGAAGAGGAATACTCAGGACAGAGAAAGGAGGGCCAAGAAAACTTTCTGTGGTTTTCTGGAGGATCTGAGGGGAAAAAAAATTATCAATGAAGAATTGAAAGAGCGTCTTGCTTCATACTCAGGTAAAATGCAAATAGAAATTTGGAGATAAATTGAACTTAAGTGTGTAATATTTTCCCGTCTATTAGAATTCAAAGTTGTTTCAAGGGTATATACATGTGCTAACTCAATTTCAGATCTTCCACTACACCTGCTGTCAAAACAGAGCCATGAGTACACCAAAGACCAGAGGGAGTTTGCTGTCACTCTCCACTTACATGGGCCCAAAGCCTATAAATATCTGAGAGTCTCTCCAGATTAATCTCCCACATCCACATACATTGCAAAGGTATTGTTCATGTTATTTGAAGCCTTTTGAAAGAACAAGAAAGAGTGAAAGGTGGAGATGGCTACGTGTGTCATTGTTAACATTACCATAAATAATGATAAACAATAAATAGTGGAACTTAAATAGATCACACTCTGAGTTTATTTGTTTGTCTATGGTTATGGGTTTTTTGCCTATTGATCAGGGTTACTGTGTTAAATAATTGCTTTTTCTTCTTGCCAAGGTGGATGAGTTCTGTGGATGCCAAGCCTGGCCTGAACATAATGATCTTAGACATGCTGAAAAAGAAACAAGAGGAAGACCCGGCTAAATATGGATAGGTGTGTCTTATGTTGGATGCCATGGCTATTAGACAACATGTCTAGTATAATCTTCATACCCAGAAAATGTGTGGATTCGTGGATATGGGCGATGGTATGAATGAGATAGATGTTGCCACTGAGGCTCTTGTCTTTATGGTGGTTGGACTGCAAGGCCATTGGAAAGCTCCAATTGCCTACTACCCGACCAAGGCCCTGTCTCCAGAGACACAGGAGGTGCTGCTTGTTCATGCTTTGGA